CATGTGGTTGAAGAGCCTTTGGAAATGGCTTGTGGGAAGAGTTTGGGAAGGTTTGGTGATGTCTCCTGAAAGAGAAGCGCTAGCACACTTTTGGCTGTTCTGTCTGGGAGATTCTGGTCAGAGCTCAGGAGACCAGAAGACTGATAGAAATCCTGCCAGTAAAAACTGGGTCCAGAAGGTTTTTTGTCTTCATTTTGCTCATGTCCAGAGACTTTGTCTGAGACTAAGATTAAGGGTGGCAGACTGGTTAATCTGGCAGAAGAAATTTCAAGGCAGTTGAATGTTGAGGTTGTGGCATGGCTATTGTTGGGGGCTTTTAGCCAGATTTATGTTGTAAATCAATAGCAAAGAGCCCAGCATGATGACTTAAAATGTTGTGAGTTTGCCCAGAAAGGAAGCTCCAGTAAAGCTGTGGACTACAAAGATAGAGCTGAGATCTCCATTGTTGAGAAGGAACAGGAGAATATAAAAGGTGGCCTGAGGACATCTCAAGAAATAGCAAGTCTCTACCCTTTGAAGCCTCAAACCTGCAAAGGTGAAAGACTTTGCTTTGAGGAGAAAGCCTCAGAGTGCCATTTTCCAGAATGGCAGCTACTTAGAGAATTTGTTCCTCAGTATTGGATTCAGAGTGTCCAGCAATCCAGACACTCGACCTCTATGGCCAAGAGAGGGGAAAGCTTGGCTACTGCTCCAGGTGGTAACAGTCCTTGGTATATCCATGTGGCACTGGTTTTAGGTGCATACAGAATGCAAGAATTCTGAGGTTAAGAAAGCTTGCACTTAGACTTCAGAAGGCCTGGTTGGCCAGGCAGTGTGCTGCTGAGAGGGCAGTATGTGAAGCTGTGAGTGAGAAACCTAAAGTGCAGTGAAGACCTCAGAAGTTTGGAGATGCCGGGAATGTGGACTGTCTGAGGAAGGTTGCAATGAGGGAGCAAAGCAGGCCTAAGAGAGAAGCTGTGGGAGCTACAACCACTGGAAGTGCCATAGGGGTGGAGTCATGAAAGCCCCATGGAGCTCACAGTGTGCACAGCTTGCTTCAAATGCTGAACATGGAACCACAGGACTTAATGTTTTCCCTCGTGGATGTTGGACTTCCTTTGGTCCTTTTCCTTTGTATTTGCCTGTTTGTAACTTT